GACCCGGCCTCCCGGCAAGCAGGGCAGCGCGCAGGCGCGGCCGAGTGCTGTGCCCAGCGGCCGCGGGGGCAAGGCAGGGCCTCACCCCTCCTTGAGCAGGATGGGCTGCTCCACGCTCTTGGGGTCTCTTCGCCCGGACGACGAGATCAGGTCCAAGAACTGAAATGGGAGGAGGCGGGCGTTCAAGGGAAGCTGCACCCCGAGTCCGGGTTCCCCGGCCTGGTGGGGGCCCCCTCGGCCGGTCCCGGGCTGTCTGGCCTGTCCCCCAAGGCCTCCCCCTGCCACCCCTCGAGGGTGGTTTTCGCGACTTCTGGCACACAGTCCTGTAATCGCTTCCCGAAGCAGAAAAGCCCAGAGCTCCGACGAGACCTCGTCGGGGCGGCGACCGGGGCGGGCCCGGCCCAGGTCAGGAGCGCAGGGCCTGGGCCCGGAGGACGTGCGGTGGGCACAGGTGGGGCTGGGCGACACCCCCGGGCCCTCCAGCCGGGCTCTGCAGGCCGCTGTGCCGGCAGCGGCAGGACACGGCTCCGGCCGTGGACACTCACGTCTTTCACTGCGTCGGCATACTGCTGCTCGTTGAAGAACTCGTAGAAGGCGGCCATGTAGGACTCCTTAAAGCTGGCCTAGGGGAGGTGGCACTGAGCGGCGTGGTGGCGCGTGGCCCCAGGCGCTCAGCGACAGCCTGGCTGCGGGGCCGTGGCCAGGCTGGCCGGAGGCGCAGGCTGACCTGTGCCCCGAGAGCAGAGCGGGCCCCACCTTCCACAGACTTGGCGCCACAGCCAGCTCACAGCCCAGCGGGCGGCCATGCAGGCCGGCCGGCGCGTTTGCCCGCCCGGCGACCCCCACGCCCCACCCGCGCCTGGACCCGCGCCTCGAGGCGACTCACAGACTTGGATTTGGAGAGGCTGCCCAGCGTCTGGATGGTCTTGGAGATCAGGGTCAGCGTCCTGGACACCTGGGGGTCCTGGGAGGGCAGGGGGCCTCATTCCACGGCAGCTCCAGAGACGCCCCGAGCCCCGTGCAGC